AAAAAAAAAAAAAAATTAAAATTAAAAAATTTTTTTTCCCCTTTTCCAAAAAAAAAAAAAAAAAAAAAAAAAAAGAATTTCGGATTTTGTTTTGGGGGATATTTTTGTTGATAGTATAGTCTCTCTTTGGGTGTTAATGAAACTTTGAAACTCTCCCTCACTTTGCTCTAATTTTTTGTTTTGTTTCTTCCATTTTTTCTATCCTATAGCTATGAATGAATGAATATTGAAACATTTTGACATTGTGTTCGATAATTTGATTTGGATTAAATAACAAAAAAAAGAAGAAAAAGAAAAAAGTGAGAAAAAAAATTATTTATTAAATCAACAAGATGCGTACACAGGCAACACAAACTGAACCAAATGAGCTTCATCAATATTATTATAATAATCAACAACAACAACAACAACAACAACGTATCGGTCAAAGAGGATTATCAACATCATTATATACTGTATCCAATCATCCAACATCAACATCAACATCAATCAATCAACAAATTAATCTATCAAATAATCAATTAATTGATGATGATGATGATGATGATAAATATTCGACAACAACAACAACAAGAAAAAGAAGAAAAACATTAAACAATAATAATAATAATAATCAAACAAGACGTTCCGTTTCCTATCAATTTCTTTCAACAACAGCTATATTTGATGGTTGTTGTCCAACTGGTTGTTGTTTAGAATCATCTACTACTGATGATAATTTAACAATATTAAATCATCATCATTATCATTATGGTGGTTCATCTAAATCATTACGTTCATCAAATAGTTCACATAAAGTAAATCAATTTAATTATGATGATGATAATATTTTAGATGATTATTCGGGTAATTATGATTATGGTGATTATTATGATGATGATGATGATGATGATGATGATGATATAACACAAAATCAGCTCAGTCCTCATCCACTTTTTTCACAACCTCCATTATCTAATGCTCAACGTCATCAAATAAATATTGCTCCAAAAAGATCACAAAGATCATCAACAACAACAACAACAAATAGTAGAGCAAGCCATCAATTTATAATACGTACAATACCATCATATTTAAATCTTTCACCACGTGCATCGTATCATCGTTTAAATATTAAACATCCACCAAATGAAATTTGTCAACATCCAAATGAATTACATGAAAAACATACTACTAAATCAGGTGATACAATATTATTATGTTGTTCAACAATTATTGATGATTCAGAATGGAAAGATTCTTTATCCAATGTTGAAACTGTTTCGAATAATAATAATCGTACTTCCATAATAATGAATAATCGTAATAATAAAATAAATGATTCAAAAATAACATCATCTATTAATTATCGTGGTAGTAAACCACCGATTCCAGCCAAACCAGAACATATTATTTCAAAAAATTCGGCTACAAAAATGAAAACAATATTCAAAATGACAGCTATTGATTTTGCTGAACAATTAAGTTTGGAAATAATTCGATCAGCAGAAAAAAGTGCCAATCAAAATCAAAATCAACGATCATGTTCAAAATGTGGAATTTCATATGATTCAACAGCTACATTAATCATACCGGATAATGGATTGATAACAATTTATAATAAACAAGATGAATCACAATTATCAACAACAATAGATCATCCAATTGAATGGTCAACAAAATTTGATGATCATCAAAATGATCAGCCATTACAACAACAATGGCAATCAATAACAAATGGTAATCTATCTATGGATAATCCATTTACACAATCATCATCAATAAAACAAATCATAACACCAACAACAACAATAACAACAACATTATTTGATAATTATTCACAATATTCATTTAATTCATTACAATATTTTGGTGAACATAAATCATTTTCGGAAAGTGAGCTTTATTTACAATCAAAAAATTGTTATAATTATTCAAGTCAAAGTAAGTATTATTATTATTATTTGATTGTTGATAGAGAAAACAGAATTGTTTCTTGTTTTCATTTGTTGTTTATTTATTTGGTTTTTTTCATTGATCAAACATCATTCAATTGTTGTTTCCTATTTTGTTTCTTTTTTTCTTCAACATTTTCATCATAGACATTAAACAGATATTACAATCAGGATTGAATCGTAGACATTCAGCAATTGCTGATTTAGCAGTTGAAACCGATATGATTGATACAAGTGTATTTGATATAATAACAACACCACCACCCGGTTTTGATGATAAAGATGATATTGTTCAACAACAAGATTTATATGATCATTTACCATTACCATTACCATTATCATCTTCATCATCATCGTCGTCATCATCATCGTCTTCAACACCAACAGCACCATCATCATCATCATCAAGAATTGAAGATCAAACTGATGATGATGATGTTGATGGAAAATTTCATATTAAAGGCAAACATCATCATCATCATCATCATCAATCGAATCAAAAACGACAATTATTGTCAAAAAATAATGACCAAAATATAATGGAAAAACGTTTTCAACAACAACAACAACAACAATCAATACAATCACAATCACAACAACCAATATTAACAGGTCAATTATCAATTATATCACCAGAAAGTGAACAATCATCACAAGTAACATCAGTAACAAATTGTAGTGAATTATTACAAACAACTGGTACAACATTTAGTTCAGAAGGTACCGGATCAGGTTCAGCATATCCATTTGCAATTGATCCACAACAACCTGGGCCAAGTACCGAATTGATTGGTAGTATTCAAACAACAACAACAACCATAACAACAACAACAACAAACGCAACAGCAACAACAAGTAATAAATTTCATCCAACACAATTAATTGCATCTGGTAGTAATAGTAATAATGATCATGGTGGTCATATATTTATGGGTGGTTATGCATTAGATTTTGATGATGATGATGATGATGATGATGATGATGATAATGATTATGATGACGATGATGATGATGAAGTTTATGAAATGGAAACAACTGAATCTGGAAATAATAATCAAAATAATAATCAAATTGATTTTCATCATCATCATCGTCATCAACATCATCATAATGTTGATTTTGCAATGGCTGAAGGTAGTAGTCAAGATGATGAAGAAAAAGCAAAATTTGAATTAGAATTTGAAACAACCGAAGATGATATTTGTAATGATGATGATGATGAATATGATATGGATAATTATTATTGTAATAAAAATGAAAATGATAAAAAAAATTTTAATAAAATTAAACGACCAAATGAACTTAATGTTGTTAGTCCAGTTGATGTAAATCGATATTATCGATCTAATAAAGAAAAAAATATTGTTAAATTATCATCATCATCATCACCGTCACCATCACCGGAAATTATTTCAAATAATGAAAAAATTAATAATATTCGTTCAGGTGATGATAATAATAATGTTGAACAATCTACAACGACAACAACAACAACAATTCTTTCATCACCTGGACGTGTTACATATGGTACAAGTAAATCATTACCAGAAAATTTATTTCGTTCAGTTGATGATCCAGAAATGATGATGATTATACAATCACCATTAAAACGTTCAAATAATGATGGTGAACGAAAAGTTCGTTTATCCAGAACTAAATCAAGTACATTTGGACGTAGACGTGATTCAAATGATCATTATATTGATTCTGATCAACAAACAAACAAATTATATTCAGATAATCAACAACGAAATAAACGTTTTGATACAATTGATTCAAGAACAGCAAGTGATTTAACACCATTACAAGATATTTATAGTTCAGATCCATCAACAACAATTGATTTATCTATTGCTAATACTGTAATTGAAAAACAAGAACAAAAACAATTACAACAAAATAATAATAATGATGATAATGAACATAGTATTGATGAAAATGAAAGTAATAAACTACGTCGAATGTCACAAGAAAAAGCTAAAAGATTTTCGGCTGAAATTTTTGAAAAATTAAATATTACACCAGAAAGTTATGCTAATGAAAATCGTATGATTGGTAACGAACTATTAGATAGTAATGATATTTGGGAAGCAGCATTAAATGTTGGCCAAAATAATTCTGCCTTGAATCCTGTATGTGATACGATGAAAAAATCGAAAAAATTATTGGTTACCGATTTTACTGATGAAAATTTAACAACAACAACAACAACAGCGACAATAACATTTGCACCGAAAGAAAAATCATCATCATTAGTAACTAATGGTAATACAACAACATCTAATCAACAACAACAATCAACATCCAAACAAACAACAAAATTAACAAAATCTCGTTTGATGACACCATCATTACGACAATCAATATTGAATCAAATGATTGCTATTGCTGATGCTGAAAATGATGATGATGATGATGATGAAAAAATTAATATTAATGATTCGAATAAAACAAAAGAAACTAAAACAATTACATCAACAATGATGGATAAATCATTACAAAAGAATCAAGAAGAAACATTTCAATCTGCTGGTAGTGATGAATTGAAAAGGAAATTATCAAATCAAACAATAACAAATAAAAGAAATAATAATAATCATAAACTTCAACAACAAAGAAGTATTTATGATTCAACCAATAATAGTCGTACATATTCAAACAGCAACAACAACAATGATGTTGTTGATATATGTAAATCAAATTCAACAAAAAGTTCATCAATTAATGATGATGATAATGATGATGATGATGATGATGATGATTCACAAACATTTTCAATTGAAAATTTACCTGAAGATAGTACAACATCAGGTAGTTTTATGTTAGATGATGTTACATCAAATAATACAAGTGATGCATTAAATGGTTCATATTTAATATCTGATTCAATATCAGGTTCAACATCAAGAAATTTTTATTCAGTATCAAATGATTTAATGGATGATGAACCATTAATGGATAATCGTATGGGTAAAAGTGAACCAGCAACATCTGAATTAATACATGATCAATCGGATGTTGATCAAAATTATCAATCAATGCCATGTAATATTAATCGTATAATTGTAGCAAAACAAATTGGTGGTGAAAATCCAAATTATTTACGTGTACGTTTTGAACAAAGACAACGTAAAGCAATGGAAAGAAATGATAAAAATATTAAAACAAAACCAACAACAACAACAACAACAACAACAATATCTAGTAGTACAAGTCAATCACAAGGTAAATAATGATTCATTACAAATTAGTTTTTATTATTATTATCTTGTTATTTTTGTCTCTTTTTCTCTCTCATATATACATAGATAAATCATCACAAGATGATGATAATAATAAAAATCCGGATGAAGATTATACTTGTACGGATAATTTTTTTGGTAAATATCAGAAAATACTTGATTCACAATATGAAGAGCCAACAAATCGTATAATATCGACAAATATTCGACAAGAACAATCATCAATAAGTAATAAAATAGTTACAGGAACATCATCCGAACATCATGAATCAGAAATTAATCGAAAACGTAAACAACAAAAACAACATCGTCAAACATCATCATCACAGGCAAAAGATATTTCATCTACCTGTCAACAACAACTACAACAACAACAACAACAGCATTTACAATCGGGCAATAATCATAATAATAATCATAATCATAATCATCCAATTGGACAACATCATCAATATTGTAATACAACCGATATGTTTGAACAATCATCACAAGCAACTGAACGTGATGTTGAACGTTCAGAATTTTCATTACAGAATCAAAATTCTGAATTAGATGAAGATGAATCATTAACATTTGAAAATTTAAATAATCAAAGTTTATCGGTTATTGATGAAGATTCAAAAGGTGATCAAGAATCTGGTACAGGTGTAGGTGTTCAACAACAAAAACAGCCAATGTTACCTCAACCACCATCATTAACATCTTCTAGATCTATTCAAAATAATGATAATAAAAATATTGATATTGATAATGATAAACATTTAGCTACAGGTTCAGGTGAACTAATCCAAACATTAAGTCAATTGGATAGTAGTGGTGATAAATCTGAATTACTTGAAGAACGTGATCTGAGTTTAGAAGCAGTATTACAAGAAGAAAGTAAAGAATTGGAACGTGTAAAAGCAGCTGAAAGATTAGAAAGACATAGTAAACGTTATCATCATTCTCATCATCATCAACATCAACAACAACAACAACATGGTAACAATTTGTCGCATAATACATTGATAGAAGATACACCAACTACTTGCCATACATCGACAACATTTCAATTGAACACAATGGATGATAGTTCTAGAGATATTCTTGACACGTCTCATAATATTATTGTACATGATGATGAAGAACGTACAGAATTACGTGATGAACGAATAGCATTATTAACATCATCAATAGCAACTAATGATTCTAGTGATGGATCAGGTCTACCAAGCAATAATGATGATAATAATAATATGAATATGAATATGAATGCTCGACAAAAATTTAATCGAAAAATGAAAGAAATTGAACGAAGAATTTTATCCGATCAACATCATCATAATCAAATTGTTACGGAAAAAGTATCGAAAATTCAACCGAAAAATGATCAACATCAACAAGAAATAGCTCGAAATACATTTAATTCACATAATAATTCTACATATTCTGAATGTAGTTCAATAACAACACCTGATCATAAAAATGTAATTATGGCCAATACTGCTGAACTTCCATCAATATTGAAACATAATAGACGTGGTCAATCACAACCTCCACCAATAGCTGGCGCTAGTTCCACTACTGGACAACGACAAACATCGAATGTTGCATTTGCTAATCAATTAGCTAATGATACTGGTGATCACCATCTTCATCCTTCATCAATATCTAATCAACATTGTTGTTCAAGATGTTATCATCGTCATCATCATCATCATCATCATCATCGTCATCCTCGTCATCCGGTTGGATCGGCTAATCATCATCGACCATCAACAACGGCAGGTTCATCATCATCAACAAAACATTCGGTTTGTTTACATCATGGTCCTAGTGGTAGTAGTGGTGGTGGTGGTGTAAGGACCACAAGTAATCAAGATGAGATTATTATACAGGCACGTGCACGTTCATTAACTCGTAATCTTGGTGTGAATAATAATGCTATAACCGGAACAATTGGCCTACAAAATAAACTAAATGAAGTTCATCTTGAACAACAACAACAACAACAATTAACGGATCAAATACCTGCACAACGACAACGATCACCTTGTAATCAACATCATTTTACATGTAGTCATTGTGGTGAATCAACAATGCCACCAAATCTTGTACCAATAATTTCAACAACAAGTCGATTTAAACGTAGAGGAATGCCACAATTATCACGTAAATCATTTACTGTTGAAGATGTTTATTTTGATGTTGATGATGAAGAAAATGATATTGGTGTTCATTCGGAAACTTATCGTTCATCATTATGGATATATATTGGTCGTAAAGAAGAATTAAATATTTGGAATAATCTTAATCGTGCTGTATTGAATCGTTCAACACAAGAATATCCATCCAAAAATCGTAAACAATTTCGATTTCCCCGAATAGATGATACTAATAATGATGGAAGTGATCGTAATAATAACAATAATAATAATACAAATTCATCAACAACAACCGATACAAATTCTATTTCTATTTCAACAACACAATCTGAATCAGAAGAAAGTACTGCATCGGAAAAAAATTTTCGTCAACGTTATGAAACAGTAACACATCGTTTAATACATCGTAAAGCATCAATTGAATTATATCGTAGAATTTTGGATCAAACATTTAGTATGTAAAACATTTTCGAAACAACAAGCAAATTATTTTAAACCAAAAATTTATTTTTATTTTTTGTTTGTTTATCAATTTAGCCATAGATAAATGTCTAACATTGACACGTGATAATAATGAATTTGGATTTCGTATACACGGAAATCGTCCTGTTGTTGTATCAGCTGTTGAAAAAGGTATGAAATATCAAAATTGAATCTTGTTTTCAAAGCTAATGAATTATTATTATTTTATAATAATAGGAACATCAGCTCAACATAAAGGTTTAGAAGTTGGTGATATAATTGTTGCTGTTAATGGTCATACAGTGTTAGATTCATCACATTCAGAAGTTGTTCGAATGGCTCATCATGGTGAATAATGATTGATTGATTGAAAATAAATCTAATTTTAAAAAATGAAAATATTTATTTATTTTTTATTTTTTTCAGGACATTCATTAAAATTAGAAGTTGCAAGTACAGCAACCGCATTGAAAACTGAAACAGCACAAGCAAGTGAAAATGAGCCTAAAGTGATTATCAATGGATATTTAAGTCGATTTATCGATAAATTAGCCGAAAAATGTAGTACTAGCCGTGATAAAATGACCAATCCAAAATTATGGAGAAGACGATGGTTTGTATTAAAATCTGATGCTTGTCTATATTGGTATCGTAATCCAAAAGTATGTTTGTTTGTTTGTTTGTTTTTTTCATTGATCAATCATTTTTTACGAAAGATTAATCAATTTCATGTTAATGATAATGATAATTTTCTATGAAATTTTTTTATTTTTTGATGATGGTGATAATGATAGTCATTGGAACCGATTGGAGCTATTTCATTACAAGGATACTGTGCTGGAATGGTAAATGAATGTTTATTTGGTCAAGAACATTTATTTCGTTTAGTTGGTTATAAAACAACTAAATGTAAATATCTAGCAGCAATTGATCATGCAACAGCAATACAATGGGTTAAAGCATTAAATCAAAATTCTATTCAATATAGCAATGTAAATATAGTTTCTTATTTCTTATTGATTTTTGATTCAATCAATTATTGATTATTGATTTGGTTTTTTTTGTTTTGTTTTTTGTTTTGGGACAAATTCAAATATCATTAGAGCGATGCATTTATTGACAACACTTTACATAATATACATCGTAATCCATTGAATTTTATTAATCCAGATTGTTATGGTTTTCTTTGGAAATTTAATCAAATTAAAATGAATTGGAAACAAAGATATTTTGTATTAAAAGATGCATGTCTTTATTTTTATGCTGATGCAAATTCAACAACAGCATTAGGTTTGTATAACTAAGAATTTATCAATTTTTCCAGTGTTTAATATTTGAAAATTTTCATTTTCATCTAGGTTTATTTTTTCTTCATGGTTATCGTGTTCAAGCAAATGTTACATTTAATCTTGATAAACAATCACAACAACAGCAGCAGCAACAACAACAACAACAATCAACAATTACAGCCGAAACTCGTAAACATATATTTGAAATTGTACCAAGTGATTCAAAATATAGACATATTTGGTTATGTGCCGATTCTGAATCTGATCGTAAACGGTATTGAAATATTCTATTGTTTTTTTTAAATTTTCTAAATTTTCTAATTGAATTTTTTCTTCAATTCTATAGCTGGACATATGCATTAGAATATTCGATTGATCGTTGGATTCGTCTTAAATGAAAAAAAAATTACAAATTGATTATTTACTGTTTTTATTTTCAAAAAAATCTTATGTGAAACTCTTCACCATAAATACACACTTACACTGAACATTTTAAAGCAAAAATATTTCAATTTCTGTTTTCCATTTCTTATCCATAATAATAATAATCATTATTGTCGTTATTATCAATGATATTTTTTGTTGTTGTTGTTTTCTTTGATGTTTTAACACGTTCAAACAAACAAAAAAAATCTGTTTTAAAAACAGAAACAAAACAAGCAAAACATTAAAATACATATTTTTTCAATTCTCTATACATATAAACTATTACAGAATATTTAAAAAGAAACTGTTTACTGAAAAAAATGGTACTTCCATTAAATAAAAATTATACAAAAAAAAACGATTTTTCTTCTTTTCCTTCTGTTGTTTTAAAAATTTTCACTTTCGAAATCCACTGATATGATTTATTTGCTTTAAATTTCATAATGGAATTGATTAATTTATCATCATCATCATCATCAGCAGTATCTTTAAAATTTATTCGATTGAAAATTGTTAAAGATGAAACATTTTTGTTGTGATTTTTTGTGGAAAATGTCATCATATCGATTTTAAAGATCTGTGTGCGATGATGATGGTGGGATAGAAGAAATTTGCCAGAAACAAATTTTAAATGGAAAATTTTTATTTTTATTTTTTTCTTGTTCATTCGATTTGATCTGATGATCTTCGTTTTTAGTGATAAAATAATTTTTTCATTTCACAAGATGAAAAACAAACGAGCCAGTTTTTTTTTACCGTAATGTTGTAATCTTTTAAGATGGTCGATTTGTTGATTTTTCAGTTTATCATTTAGTAGATTTTTACTGATTAGATTTTTCCAAAAATTAAAAAAAATTTTTCTTTAAAAGTTTCGTTTAAAATACATTCAAGATGCTTTTACTTTGAATTTTTTTTATTTTCGTTTATTAATTTTAGCTTAATCATCATGTGAATATCATCTTTTAATTTAATCAATCTGTGGTTTACCTGGTTTTTTTCCAAAACCGAAAAAAAAATTTCTGGGGAAAAAAAATCTCTTCCATTGGACATTCACAGAAAAAAGCTAAAATATTTATTGATGATGTTATTTTCTTTCAAAAGATATCCATCACAAATTACCTGATCCAAAAAAATGTGTATTAAAGACAGCAGCGGCAGCAAAAAAAGTATGTCAAAACTAGCTTCTCATTCACTTTTTTTATTAAATAAAGATGATGATAATTAGTTAGTTAGTTAGTTAGAAATGTATTGATGAAAGAGAATTGATCAAAGAAAAATAAAAAGAAGAGATGTGAATGAACCACATTTAGTTATCTAATAGTTTATTTAGCTTATCCTAGCACCCGAAGAAAATGAAAATCTACACACACATTTTTTTCCAAAATAAATATCCTAAAATATATTACAAGTGAAAATCAATGTGGATTAATCATCAATAGTATTTTTTTTTTCGCGAATCAATCATTTCATCTCTTGTTCACTGACAATGGTTATTAACACATTTGATTCATCATTGTAATTTAATGTTTCGTGTTTCGTGTCAATTTTCTTGGTGAAAAAAACTAACTAATTAAATATCAATAGTGATGAGTTTTATTGAATTTTTTGTTATGGATCAGCCGAATACTGATATCGGCATCCATACGTTGGTCAATGAGAATGATGATGAAAAAATCGATAAAATTGAAGAATCTAACCAAAACAACGATGATAATAATGAAAATAATAAAATTATTCAACTTAATCCATCAACATTATCAACAGATAATAATTATGATAATTCTGTACGTTGTAATTTATCACAATTTTTTGTTCGTTCAATGCATGAAATAATAAGTGAAAAATTTATAAAAAAAGATTTAAAACAAACAAAACAATTTATTTATCGACAAAAACATTTTTCACCATCACCATCATCAAAATGGTGTATTGATCATGATGGACAAATTGAAAAAGTATCACAATGGATAAAATCAATGCCAAAAATATTACCAAATGATAATGGAATTGTAATGGAAAAAAAAGTAAAATTTCATGAAAAAATTACTGTCGAACCAAAAATATCAAAAATTAAATCCATTTCACATATTACAATCAATAATAATAATAATAATAATAATATTAATGATAATGATGAACATTATAATGATGATGGTGGTGATGAATCATCAATACAACTTGATGAAAGTGTTTATAAAATTCTTGAAAAAATTTTTCATACAACAACAACAACAATTGTCCATAATGATAATAATGATGATCATTCAGATTGTTTATCATTATCATCCAATTCAACATCATCATCAATATCGGCACCAACAACATTACCACAAGTAATTCCATCATCAACAACAACAACAACAACAAAAGATGATTTAAAAAAACAAACAACATCATCATCATCATTTCAAGAAAATTCCAATAAATTAATGTAAGTTTTCAATCAAAAAAAGAATGAATTTGTAAATAATGTTTTTCTTGGAATAGGAAAAAAATTATCACAGTTTGTAAACATCCAGGTAAACATGTTAATTGTTTTCAGGAAATTAAAAAGGTTTGTAATTAGTTTGATAATGAAAAGAATTTTGAATTTTTATTTTCGCTTTGTAATCTGGTTATAGAGTTTAACATTATTTACAGCGTTGATTCGTGGCCATCATCATTTTAGTTGCTCAAGGTATGTTTTGAATTTTATTAAAAATCTTTTTAAAACCTTTAATTTTTTTCAATTAGCTGTCGTGAACGAAACATTTCATGTCAATGTTTGGATATACAAACATCCGATGATCATGATTATAATGCCAAAGATAATAATAATAAAAATTTACGAAAAAAATTATCATTCAATAATAAATATTATGGTGGATATTATCATCATCATCATCAATATTATCATTATAATATGGCTCAAACAATGAATCCCTATCAACAGCAACAACAACCACATTATTATTATCGTCATCAACATCGTCATTATCCAAAAAAACATATATTAAGACGTACACAATCATATTTTAGTTTTAATACAAATGAATTTTTAGTTACCAAAACAATGATGGACAATGGTAATGCTGTTGATGAAAATCAATTAGATTCGAATCAACAGAAAAACAAGATGATAAAATGATTGTTATTGATTCATTCCGAGAAAATTTAACATTTCAAAGTTTTCTCACCTGTTTGATTACGAAAGAAACTTACAAAAACAAAAAAAAAACACTGTTTTTAAAATTAAATTTTTATTTTGTGAAAAAAAAATTATAATTCGAAATTTATGTAAAAAATAAAGGAGAAAAGAAAAGAAATCGATTGAATTAATTTTGTCAAAAATCAATGACAAAATGTATTGAATGTTTTGATGTATGGTTTATTCTGTTGTTGTTGCTGTTGCTGTTGTTCCTGTGATTCGTAACTATAACTAGATTTTTTTTTGTTTTATTGAAGAAAAGATAAGTTGAAAAATTCAACATTTTAGATGGCAATTTCAATATTTTCCGGTTGTGCAACATTTTCACTTAATTTTTCACCTTTTTTCAAACCAATTGCAAATGCATAAACACGTGAATCAACAATTGTACCATTATTATAATATTCATTTAAACGATCCAAAAGTCCATTAATTGGTAATAATATTATTTCAATATCATTATCATCATCATTATGATGGCCATTTTGTTGTTGTTCTTGCTGTTCTTGTTGTTGTTGTTGATCTGAATTATTTTGTGGATTTTTTGCATGAAAAAAATTATTCTTTATCGGATCATCACCATCGATTATCATTGATACAAGTTTTACTTTACTATCGCATAATTCTGTTTATTTTCAATGAAACAAAAAAAAAATTATAAAATTTAAAAAAAATGATTAATTAATTGATAACTAAATCTTTTTCATTGATTTATCAATATGTATTTTGTTGTTGTTGTTGTTGTTTGATTGAATGATTGATTACAATTGATTGTGGATGATGGACCTAATTTTCTAAATTTTGTTTATTTTATGATTATAATTTTTTTTTACTATCTTATTGATTATTATCATAATCATCGAAATGACTTTGATCATCGAATGATATTTTTTTGTGAATAGGGAAAAAAAATAAAACTTTTTTTTTTCTTTCTAGCTTTAATCAATAATTTTGTTCTTGAATAAAATTGTTTCGAATCGACAAATCGAAAACCAGAATCATAAAAATTTAGTTTAACAAAAAAAAAAAATTACAAACCTGGATCTGTTGCTGTTTGTGGTGAAATATATTTAACTTTAGTTGAACCATATCCAGTATTTTCTTCAATTTCTTTAGCTGCTTCATCACCACTTTTATCACTATAACGTTGTTCAATAATACGTGCTGGAAATTCCAATGCATACGATTTTAATGTTGGACGATAACGTCGTACAAGAATTAAACAATCGCATAAACAATGTCGTTTTAAAATAGCAATACTTAATATTGTATCTTCTTGTATATCATTATTATTGTTATTAACACCAACCATATAACGTTTATGTATTACTTCAGCTGATTTAGCTTTACCATTTTCATCTTCAAATGTATATTCAGTCAATTGTAATGATTTACTTAAATATAACACTTCTTCTTTTACCGGTTTAATAGTACTGCTTTTTCTTCGTAATGATGGATGAATCGATTCCATTGATGTTGGTGAAATTTTTCTCACTGTTTCAACGTTAAGCATTTTTTTGTTTTTTGTTTTTGATTTCAACAACAAAAGATTCAACAAAAAAATTGATTAATAGAAAGAATTTTGAACTTGAATTAAAATGTTGAAATAATTTTTTGAAATAAAAAAATTTATTCTGCTGTTTCAATCTGGATCAATTTAAGATTCAATATTGACGATGATGATGATTATTTTTCTACTTCTTTGTTCGGATGATAAACGAACAGCGGATTTATATACGGATTTTTTTTTTCATTGATATGAAAAAAGAAAGAAGAAGAAATGGTTCTTTATAATCATCATTATTATTATGAAATTAGTGAATAAAATAGTGGCGAAAAAATTAAAAAAAAAATCACTGTTATCAGTTTTGCATTGATTTTATTTTTCATTTTTTAGTTTTTTTTTGTCAATGGAGAAAATACTTGAACTTTGGAATTCGATTGAAATAATGTTGTTGTCGCTGTTGCGATAATCATAATATTTGATTCAATATTTGTTATTATTGCCAGTATTTTTGTCAATTTTTGTTGCTACTGCTACTGCCTGGCTTCTAATCTCCGATTCACACTCCCAATCAAACGATTATTGTCTAATCAGAATTTTTTTTGGCTTTGTTTTGACATTTTTTTAATCAAAAAATTTCATTCACTTTCATCATGCATTCATCATTTTCTAACAAAATCAATGAAGGTTTTTTGTTTCCCGCAAAAAAAAATGCTGTCAATGAGGATGATGAGGAGGGGGTGAAGAGGAGGTGTGTTTGTGCCAATATCATCCAATATGAACAGATATTTTTAAAAAAGCAAAAAAAAAATCGATAATCAAAATGATTAGCTGAAAAAAAAAACTACTGAATTTCAATAATGATGATGATGATGATGATGAATACAAACAATCATCAAAAATTTTGATTAAAAATCATCACTAAGGGGAAAAAAATATCATTGATCAAAGATAACTGGTTAATAATTTTCAATAATGACAATCTTTTTTTTCCGAAGAAAATTATAACCAAGTTTGATTGATCAAAAAAATTTTTGCTGGGTATTTTTTTTCCATTGATATTTTATTCTGTAGTCCGAAATAATGTTGTTGACCGACAAAATTACTGTAAAAAAATTACAATTAATCAATCAATTAATGTAAAGGTTCATATATTCAATGATTGATCTGTATCTTTGAATATATTTTTGGATATGTAAATTTTCTTTTTTCGTTTTGCTTGGATCACATCACATCATCATCATAGTGAAATTGTGAATCATCAATAAAAACCGAACCAAACAAACAAAATAAAATGAATTGCAATCGAAAGCAATAATGATGATGATTTTTTTTAGATCGATATCAATATGAATAATTATCAAAAATAGAAGTAAAAAAAAAGCACAAACAAACAAACAAACATCACCTATTATAAATATACACCCGCAATGATGATGATGATGATCGTACGTTACGAAAATGTTTGCATGATTTTAGCCACGAATATCCATTCATTCATTGATTATCATCATTATCGTCGTTTATATTTTTGTCAATAAAATAAAAAACATACGTAAACAACGTGTGTGTGTGTTTGTGTTGATGTTGATGTTGAATTCGTACGATCGCAATCGGATCGGAAAAAAATATGTTAATGGATCATAGGTTT